CTCTTTTTATTTATTTATTTTTCAAGGTAATGATGCCGTCGCGCCGCTGTTTTGTTTTTGTTTTGTTGTGTCTGACCACCTGTTTCATTTGGAGAGTTGTTTAAGTGCGTGAAGGAAGGTCCGCCGGGCGGTTCCAGTTCTGGTGAGTTATTTCACAGTCGATAGTTTTCATTCTGAAAAAACGCAGCTTAATCTTCTCATGAAGGACGGTCAGAATTACAGCTCTCCGAGAGAAAGAAAATTACAGTCGGACAGGAAAATTGCAATTCTGTTTATCCTGGTCACATATCCCATAAACAGAAAAAAAACAAAATGATTAGAAAGCGCTGCTGAAAAAGCAACGTTTACACCTTTTTGAGTTCCACACACTTGAGTGAAACTGTGTGCTGCATCTCACAGACGGCCTGAAGAATTAAGGACTGACAGACACGCTGTGAACCCTGGTCTTGTCGTGGGATTTGCTTTCAAAAAGAGCAGTTGATAACAGTAATTACGCCGTCTTATAGAGCACGTCATCCATAACGAAGTGAAATGAGCTTCAGCGCAGCCCACTGATGAATAAAGATGACTATGAAGACATGATCTAAATCGGGTTTATTGCAACCGCTGCATAAGCGACAGTTTCTAATAAAGGGGTAAGAGCAAAACTTTGCATCAGTGGATTTATACAAGAAAGAAGAAGCAGTGCTTTGAAGCGATTTAGACATCCCACAAAAAAAAAAAGAAAAGAAAAACTGTCCAAAATTCCTCCCATTGACATTTTCCCACATTTTCTCGCCACACAGAGCTGCGCGGCCCCCTGAGCTCGCAGACAGACTCGTGAACATTTCTGATTAAATAGAAAAACGGAGCCCTTTCACTCGCGCGCGGTGTTGTGTCTGGCAGGATCAGGGAACAATTCAATACCCATATGAAAGCATCCCAACTGCACAGCTCGCTGTTGACAGAGGGAAGACGGAGGCGAGAATAAAAGAAGAGGAGCGGCAGCCAATATCGGGGACAAAACAGAGTTCAGAGCTTGTTGTGGAGTTTTGGAAGAGCCCAGCCTGGGGTTATAACTAGTTTTTTTTCTTCTTCTTTTCAGCAGGATAACAAGTGCACACATCCTCGGTATCATAAGGGCACATATAGATATTTCAGTTGTTTGTGGCAGGATGCCTCTGTGTCAATTCGCTTATCCTGCGAAACACGTTCTCACAGCGAGAGCACGCATCAGGCCTCCATTCGGCTCGCCAGAAAGAGCAGTTAAACCAGACACTCTTTTCAAAGAAAAATAATGACAAGCGTGGTCTTTTCCCTTTTTAATGACCCCCCGGGACAGAGAGATGAGCCGGCAAATAAACAGTCAGACACCGTGGAGGAGGCTGTCACGTCTGTGAACTAAACTCTAAATTGGGACTAGTGTGCAGAAAAACTTCACCGCCGCCTGTCTTCGCAGCGTGAATCATGCTCCCGGTTTGTAAAAAAATAAAACCCAGGCCCCTTCCCCCATCGGATGCAGTGAGTGAGCTGTCAACCTGCCCGTCCCGGAGCAGCCGGGTCCCTCCACTGCGGCTCATTTGTAGACCCCCGGTGCGAGGACTCCCACTCGAGGCAGAGCTCGGCCACTCCATTAGCTCCCTCTTTCTCTCTCTTTTGTAAACGCGAATGTATTCACGGCCTCCCGCCCACACCTGCTCGCTCGAGAGCACCCTGGGATACCGCAGGAACGTGCTCATTTCCATAACACCAATCCCAGATTCTGTGGGGAAAAAAAAAATAAGACAAACTTCAGAGGTATGCTCTTTTCCTTAATGGTTGAAGGCATCTACCCGGGGTAGTGCGTTACATGTTTCCTGGTTCCCTTTTATGAGGGTATTCCCATATGCTGCGTTCCAAAGGGGTGCCTAACCTATATAAATAAAGTCAGCTGTCAAAAATGCGTGCCACGACGCCGCTTTTTTAAAGCTAATTTACCACAGCAAAAATGCGGCAGCGGTTGTTAGGAGTTTTAAGTGGACACAAAGGGACATTTGAGATTTCCCTGAATAAAAAAGTTTCCCCATAAAGCTTCCGCACTGAACTCAGAGGCATTGCCGATGGACGCCTAACCGGGGCAGTTATTGTGGCAGATGTGTCTCGGAGATGAAACTGCCTTCAGGTTTTTATGTCCGTACTCGGATTCGAACGTTAAAAACCATGAAGGAATGTAGCCTGATGTGAAAACCTGTAAAAGACAAAGTGCAGATGCGTGTTCAGCTTCGCTGGAAGATCCTGAACATGCGCCAGGAGTTGTTGGTGTATTTTGGAAAAGGCTCATGTGCTATATGCTCTTAAAAACGTCTGCAATTACTGCAAAAGAAAACAGTAGAAAATCATGTGAAAACGCTGATGCGTTCGGTTTATAACGGTGGTCAATGGGCAGAAGAGGCTCCTGCCAGCAGTCCCCGCTGGATTGGAAACACAAGCTGGTTACCGGGTTCATAAATGTTTCAGGTATGCGACAAGCTGCTGAGCTCCAACCGCCATTCGCTCTCCAACCTCCCAGTGCTAGTTTAGATGTTCTGCCTAGTACAGAAATGACTGTGACAGTGGAGGAATGAACCATAAAGGTAAATCATGGTAAAACGTGCAACCACACACACAGCAAAATGTCCTGCAGAGCCGGTTTTAAAATGGCCGCCCCTACACAGCTTGTTGTTTGGCATGACCAGGGTAGTATGACCAGCCCAAACTGTAAATATAGAAAACTACTGTTATTTGACACACAAACAAACATTAACCTCCATTTGAGCACATGATGTCCTCATTTAATGCTTCTTTCCTCTCCTTTTTTCCCAGTCTGATCAAATATGGTGTCGCAACAAAGCTAACACCTTAACTTGGGATGAGTCGAGTTGTCGAAATAGAGATCGATAGTCTGCGCGATTGCTAAAGTTTAGTCAATAATCTGATGAAACCGAGGCCGATTTGATTGATCCGAAACCCCCTTAAGTCTTTGAAACCTCCACAAAGGATATTAACAGGCCCCTGAAAATGTTATTGATAGTGGTTTTCAAAAAGAGAGACTAAAGCAAACGGCTTTGAGTTTCTTAGTTTGCATTTGTTTAAGTACCATTTGGTAATTTATCGATATACAGTGAAGTATTCGTTTGAATTTATTCACATATCTGTTAACTTACTGGCTGTTGTCAGCGCTTCAGTAATTCTGTGTGGGCTTCTTTGAATGGTCCTCACGGACACTTCTTAGGAGAGGTAAACACATTTACCGGTGGTATCAAAGAGGACCAGCTGCCCACACCGGTACAATGGATAGATTTTTCTCTATAGGTATCGAGGCTCTGTGTTATGCTTTGGTTTGGGTTGTCCCTGCTTCCACTAACAGTTGAGCCAGTCAGGTTCATCCCTCACAGTTCAGTCCTTGTTAGTTGAAGAAAAGTAGTTTACAAAGCAGCGCCAGACATGAAAGTGCATCTGTGATAAAGCAAAAAAAAAAAAACTAAATGCGTTTCAAACGGATGCATTTATTACAGATTGCCCCTCAAAAAGCAGCAGCAGACTTTTGTGCGTCTGTTACTGAGTTGATAAAGATCCCTTGTGCGCTTCATGTCGGCCCCGGCAGTGAACAACACTCTCATGAAACCCACAAACACAACTTAGAGCTTAAAGATGTTTAATATCAATCCTCAGCCTCTGGCTTACTGTTATTGGTCATTCCCTCAAAACCAGCATAGTGGCAAAACTTTACTTTACAAATGATATTTACGCACGCACCTTTGAGCTCCATTTAAGCGTTGTGCAGCAAGTCCTTCCTGCTGTTTAGATCAACCCTCCTCAACAACTCTCACGAGTCCCAATCTTTCTAAATGACACATCATGGCTTTAGAGACGAACAGGCTTTACGGTTTCCACCCCACAGTAGCATCCCCGGCGCTTTAAATCTTGCAGAGCATTAAAAATGTATCGGGCTGCCATTCTGGGAGGATAATAAAAAAGATACAAGCGACACAAACGGGGGATGCGCATTGCTACAGTGTACGCCGCTTTTTCTATTCTGTTCTTCTTCAGGTTATCATAAAGCTCTTTTTCAGTAATGCACCTAACCGTAAACAAAGTCTGAGGGTCAAAGGTCACGCACGGTTCGGGAAAGTAAGAGCTGTTTTTGGCTCGTGTCGGCGTTTGTGAACAAGCGTCTCTGATTGCCCCCGCTGTCCGCCGCGCCCGTGGGAGGCCATTTTGCCGCCGCCGGCGTGGGCGGCCAGATGGTTAATTGAGCACTCTGTCATGTCGCCACCCTCCACCGGGGGGGAATGAACCAATCGACTCGGGCCAGACTCCTCAGCTGGCCACCCCCACGGACATCACAGCCCCATCTTAGCGGAGTCCAGCTCTAAGCCCCCCCCCAGATGGAACGCTTTAGCCGGCTCACACAGGGAGGGGATGCTCGTTACATTTTCAACTCCGAGCGACTGTGTTATTTACATTGTGTTAATCCGACTGGTGTGGCTAATTTTTTTATGGTATTTTCAGATGTTTACGACGCCGTTATTGGCCGACACGTCCTCCGTATTAACTTCAAAGCTAGATTCGATGGGCTTCACTTCAGAGTTATATCGCTTAATTCCGGATAGCCACGGGTCGTTAAGATGACGGTACCGTGCCAGGAAACGCCGCCGTTCCCTCTGTTGCTACACGCTACCGCGCGGACTTGTAACCGACCTAGGACGATGGCGTATTCAGGGGGTTCATTCCGTCCCGTTCATTACCCTTCCATTGCTACCAAGTTGGCAGTTTCGGCGCGCTCAAATTTGGACGGTTCCTCCGAAAACATTAGCAGGGTTGAGTTCAGCATAACTATGTAAAGCAGCCTATTAAAATGGCCCCCCTCACATTCTCTCTCTCTCTCCGATCCCCCGCGCTCGGTTCAACGTGCAACATCTGCGACGGTTCGGGGGCGCATCAGTTCACATGGAACGAGCCATTTGCGCATATGCAAAGGCGCCATTTACTCCACACAGTACAAAGAGGTTTTAAAGCGTCATGTGTCGCCATCTGGGCTCCATCCATTTCAGGGAGGCTCGTTTTTGGAAGGACAATGGCAAATCACACATTCAGGCTGGCGGAACCCGTCATCTTGTATATAGATTAAATTCTATCGGGGAAAATAAGAAAACTACAATGCTCTTTTTGAGTAAATGTTTTACAAAGCATTTAAACACACACGTTTTGCTCTTCTTTCTTAGTCTCAACGAATCAGACCAATTTTTCTGACTGATTTGACCAGATAGTCAGAGTATTCTCGTTTATTTTAAAGCTTTCCTATAGCCTGGACATTCACCCATTTTTTTTCCCTACAGTTTTTTACATTTACATTTAAACGGGATAAGATTTTGAATAATCTTGTTCAATATTTTCTTTTGCTAAGTAGATTTAACTCCAGTGCTGATTGCAATAAGAAGCTCTACATGATAAATAACATCCTATCTGGGCAGCGTCTGCCCTGAGAGGGCCAAGATACCAGATCCAGATTTCAGGTTTTGACAAGGCAAATGTCCTTTGGGTTTGAATTCGTCACTCAGCAGGATTTAAGTTTTTCATCTCACGGTTGTTCATAGCGGCCTTTACTTGCTCATCATCACCATTTTATTAGTCCTAGGGCATGAACGCGGTGTGAGACATGATACACGACATTCATTCAGTTAGATTTTTGCTCCGGATTCTCATATAAATGAACGAATACCCCTCTGTAAAGTGAGGATTAATAATGCTCTCGCAAACACAGTTAATTAGCTTGACATAATGAGTCGACACAGAACAAACACGTGAGCCGTCTTATTAAATGAACCGATCCTTCTTCTTCTCTTTGGGAATGACGCGACCGCGGATGAGGCGTCGGCAAAAGGGTGGAAATGTCACTTCAATCAAAAGTGATTTCAATTAAAGCCATTTTACCTTGCTTGATGAGAGAGCTGGAGGTACTGAAGATACGATCTGTAAGATATTACCGAGGCTCTGGCAGAAAATTGAACCTCAGAATTGAAGCTAATTGAATTTTTCGAATGATATGGTTGAATGTAGGGAGCTCTTATAGCCTGCGAAATAAAAAATAAAAAAGGACGAGGAGACGGAGCTCTGAAGTAAAGGAGTTAGGGGTAGAATAGAAGAGGAGGGCTTTGAATTTAAATGGAAAGATGAAATGACGGCGGTGTAAAAACTAATTTTTTGACAGATCGAGCACATGGTGGCCCGTGCCTTATCTCTGACTCTGCAGCAGTGTGACCATGTGACAAAGTCACGACTAAATAAACAGCAGCTTGTATAATCGCGTTTTATGCCACTTGTGACAAAATGGATAAAAGCTGTGCGGCTAAGTTAGCGCCGATGGGGAAAACACTCTTCACGCCGAGGTCAGAGCAAGGGTTCAAGAACGGCAATCAGGAAGCTGGTGGGGATTCATTGTCCTGCTTAAGGGGGAATTCGGTAATGTGGAAGCTTCCCGGCTGATCTCAGAACCGAACAAATGCAGCCGAAACACCGGTTTGTTTGTTTCTTCTCAACAGATGCAGATCCAATAATCATTCTTTTAAGTTGGTGTATGAATTATTTGACCATATTTTAATATTTTCTAAGGAGTACCACTTTCAAAATATCTGCAATGTCGAAATATGGAAAAAAATATGGAAAATAGGGCAGGGACAACATAAAAAATTAATCGGCTTGTATCGGCTCACTGCAGAGGGTCTGTTAGTTCTAGTTTTGGAGCTTTTTGTCCATGTCTCTGACCGAGAACGTCTGAAACTCCTCGCAGAATTGCTGGTGAGGTTTTAGGGGGCAAAACTCCGGACGCTGGACACTAAACGATCTGCATTGTGTGCTCCCCTGGTAGATTTTCCTCGGCTGGAGCAGTGGTCGGACAGCATCTCCCCGTCCGACGCCTCCCCCTTCATGGACGGCTTCCTCTACATCTCCTCTGGGCCCGCCAAGGCCACACTGGATCGGCGTGGAAGAGACGGTGAGTAGGGAATAGGGGGGTAAGCTACTTTGCACACCCCTGGCAAGGCCGATCAATCCATCATCGTATTCGGGAGCATTTCGAGCCTCGTGTTTGTCAGGGGGTTAAGCGCTGATGGGATCAGTCGGTGTCAGTCAGTCAGCTGTCAGCTGACCGATGGTTTAGTCCGTACAGCAAACAGTCCAGTCAAAACGATCAATGCGCACGTCTCTCAAAGGCACTCTGCGTAGTCTTCTGGGAGTCCTCGTCAGACGATGACAGAGCTGTGACGATGACAGAGCTGCAGCGGTGGGTTAAGTACAATTTCCGTGTATCTGTACTTTACTTAAGTAGATTTAACAATGGATACTTTCTACTTTTACTCCACTACATTTAACAGTAAGTATCTGTACTTTCTACTTCACTACATTTCTATACAGCGTTTCGTTACTCGTTACATCCGAGGCGCATTTCGTTTTTTTGATTTGTTCGTTAGTTTGAAAGTATCCAATGGCGAGAGCAGAATGAGTCCGCTGAACCAATCCAAAGCGGGAAATAACCATTAGGCCCTCCCTCAAGAAGAGCAGCACAGTACGCAGGACCTGCATAAAATATCTAAATCTAAACTGTCACAGGGGGTAAACACATAAAAACATGCTTTATCTGCAGCATTGCTCATTAAAATGGTACATTACTGATTTATTCAAACTAAATACGATAGGTACACTTAACGACATTATATAAGCCGTTAGGTATTATGGTTGGCAAGTACTTTTACTTTGAATACTTAAGTAGTTTTAAAAGCTTGTACTTTCTTACTTTTACTTAAGTAAAATAATAATGTGGTACTTTGACTTTTACTTGAGTAAATTTTTGTCTGTGTATTTGTACTTTTACTTAAGTACATTGTATGAGTACTTTCTCCACCACTGCAGAGCTGTGACGCTCAACGCAGCACACGCTGACCACTGACCAAACTATGGTCAGGCTAAAATGGAGACAGAAGAAAGACAGACCTTAAAGGGGAGAGAGTTTCTCCCACTTCCTCTTAAATTCACCTGTCTACCCTTCCTCCAGAACTTCTAATTTCCTCTTTTTTTGTCCTCCAACATGCTTAAAAACTTACAAACTTTTGCTCAGACTCCAGTTTCCCCACTCCTCCCAACAGCTGGAGCTCTTTCGGGCCCACGGGTAATTACGAGAAGGAGCCTGCTAAGGGCCCTGCCTCCAGGGAGAAGGGGTTATTCGGAAGATGGAGGAAGGGGGAGAAGGAATGAGAGGACGGAAGCGAAACGGTACCAGCTCCCGTTCATGTTGAGCAAGACATCCATCTCTTATTTCGGCCCGCGCAGCCTCGGCCCCTCGTTGGTGAGAGATCAGTTTCTGGGAAATTGCCTCGCGCTGGAACTGGAACTGGACTGGAGCGATTATCTCCCCAAAATGCCATTAACTGCACAAATCGAATGCATTTTAAAGTCACTTTTAAAGGATGGCTATGACATTTTTTTTAAATTCTTGCTGACCTTGTTGATGCCGTTATAACCATATTGTACTAGGTAAATTCAAATACTGAGACATTAAGGCAACAAAGCCTTTTTTTTTTAATTAAGAAATACTTTAACAATATATCAGCTAAATCTCAACTAGCAGCTCCCAGGCAAAGCTTGGTGGCACATTTTTGCAGCTTGTGTGCTGCTTTGTGAGCCAACATCGCAACCGCTTATTCAGCGTTTTCCGAAACGTCTCTTTATATCAGTTTACTACAGCAGTAAAAGACAACGGAGTGTAAAGTTGGGGTGTAAAAGCCTTTAGTTCGCGTTGCGAACAAGCTTTTGCGACGAGTGTCTCTTTTTCCCCCGAGCGCCGCTCCGGGCCTCGCCGGGCGTCCCGAGCAGGTCGGGTTCTTTTGATTTGCCGGCCCATAAACACCTGGTGTTGTAATCTTTTATGGAGAGTTTTGCTGCTGAGCGGTGACGCTGCTTTTGACTGCGGCCGCTGAAAAAAATTCAGAGGGGACGGGTTCAAGACTCGCCGCGTTCCAACTCCGTCAATCAAAACGAAGCCGTCAGGACTGTGGGGGGTGTTTTGGAATGTGCAATCAGACTCTGTTTGCTCCCTGGCCAACGGTTTGATGCTCTATAGATGCTCTATAGCAGGGGTCACCAACCTTTTTGAACTGAGAGCTACTTCATGGGTACTGAGTCACACGAAGGGCTACCAGTTTGATACACTCTTCTGAAATAATACATTTGCTCAATATGCTTTTAGTTATACTTTATTAATAATCATTAATGATACTCATCTGTGACAACAAAATGGAAAACATATCAATATACACCACTTTATCTCTATTTATCTCAGCAACTGTTAAATTTTCAGATGATCACTTACTGTACATCACTACATTTACATAGGAGTTTTCACTTTCACTTGTTTTCACTAGCCACTGACAAAACCATGTAGTTAGCATGGTAGCTTTTGTGGCACGAAGTGAAGTGTCTCTCCACATTGTGCCGCTTTCCCGTCGCCACAGTTGCCCCGCAAATCAGATACACGCAGGTCTTAAAAAAAGAACTCCTCCTCCCATTCGTTGTGAAAGTGATCCCTTTTCTTTTGTTTTTCTGCCATGTTTTGGGGGTAAGAAACTGCACCCATTTACGCTTAGACTGGTTTTGTTTTGTCACGTGCTCAATACCTTTGAACTAGAGAAAACTTAAACTTGTGTTGGTGCCCCCTGCTCTATAGGCTTATCATAATTCACGAGTTGCGCTCAGGGCGTGATAACAGCGTCTTAAACTTTCTTTGTTCTGTTTGGGGTCAGCTCCAGCAGGCTTGTGCCCCACCAACGATTTTATTACTGGTGCGATTATGGCACTAAGATGGACAGCAAGGCAGCCGGCTCAGAATAAGCCTGGCAACGTGGTTTAAAACTGGAAAAAAAACTATCAGGGTTGTCTCATTTGTGCTTAAAAACCAGGTTCCACTCTCCCTGTTTCCCTGCCTTCAGTTCGAACTCCACGATCAATCCAGCGCAGACGGTTGATTCCGGTTCAAATGAAGTCCTCCTCCCCCGTTTAACGGCTAGAGGAGTGACTCATTCCGCTCCTATATTCAGAGGAGTGTGTCCTTGCTTTGTGTGGGCATCTCTGAGCGTGCTGGACGGGGGAAACGGACACCGTTACTGTGCGAAATGGTGAGTGGCAGCAGGGAAATGGCAGCCCTAATTTCTGATTAGTTTAGCCTTCCCCGCATCAGCGCCGAGCTCTGCTTTCACCAGAAACAGTAACTCACATCTGCCCGAGGAGGAGCGGCCATGGAAAGGATTCAAAATGATGCTTAATGGAGCCCCTATGAACAATTCAATTACTTTTAGCTGCAAACTTTGAGCCTGGGCGTTCCATAATATCCCAAATCTGTGATTCTTGTTCAGATTTCCTCGCTAAACGGGCTAATTGCTCACTTTACTCATTTCTCAAAGAGTAAATAAAGCCTAATAAGTCATATCCTCTTCATTTATGATCCATTTCGGAGCGCTTCCCTAAATAAACGTGTGGCGCTGAGCGCTAAAGCGAGAAATAGATGGCAGATAGTGTTTTTTTTTCTTCCCCAGCCTTATCTTATGCTGTGTGTGTCCATCCCTCCCCGTAATGAAGTGGACTCTAATTCTGGCACAGACGGATCGTTCGGATTCCTTCAGTTTCTCGATTTCCATTTCCAGCTCCCCCCTGACAAGCTGTCTACCAGATGTCTTCATCCCAGATATTTTAGTCCGATGGCAAGATAGGCAGAAGATTGGTGGATGTGGGAGAGCGAGGTGAGCGAGGGTGGAGCGGGGGGGGGGGGAAAGGGGCGCTTTTCTGCTATTTTGCCGCCGAAATGGGCAATGCGGGGGGAAAAAAAAAGTTTAGCGGGGCACCGGGAGCTCAGTAATAAAGCCGCACGCGCATTCAGAGTCGAGACTGGTTAGGATCTAACTGCAGCCATTCAGACGCTCCGAAACCGCCACCTCCACGGCTTGATTTGTCTAATCAGCCTTCTCGCCTTCCACACTTCCTGCGGAATGCTCAAATAAGAGAGATGGGTGGAAAGAAATTCTAAAAAGACAGAGGTTGGAAGGCTTTCCACTGGAAGTACTATGCGGCAGGCTCTCTTTTGGCGCAGCGTCTAATTGGTCCAATTTATCTGGTGGAAGCACGCTCGGCGGTTGGCTTCCTCTTGCGGGCTGGTTGCGGACTCCCGTGGAGAACGGCTGGGCCACGGGGGCCCGTTTTGTGTAGGTGGGGGGGGGGGGGGGGGGGGGGGGCAGCTGGCAATGGACGCAGCTGCCTGATTGTAAATCAAGCACCATTGTTCCCCATACTGTCCCAGCCGCTAAGCGAATGCTGAGCCACAAATAAAGACGCACACGTCTGATAAAGCCCGTTTCCTGGCGAAGTGTCTTAAAAAGGGACCGAAAGCCATTCGGCGCCGCGGAAGGCTAAACTTTTTCCTACAAATTTCAGCGCCCTTCAGCGGCGGGTATATCTCAAACTGAATGAAACTCACGGAAAATCGCTGAAATGGCAGCAAAAAAAAACTTTCTCTGCTTGACATTTTACACTATAATAGTGAAATCATTGCTAGACTCTTTAACTTTATCTGATGCATCTTTTTTTAAATTTATTTTTTTAACATAATAGGAATGAGAGGTTTCGAGTGAATGATCCTCATGTCCCTTTAGGGGCATTTAGTCAGGGTGTGTAAGCATTAGGAAGAGGTTTTTCAACCACTGAACCGTCAATAAAAAGCAATTTCTGGTTACTTAGTTTCTTCTTTTAGTGTTTAACTCCGTCATGATCATGGAGTTACTTAAGAATAAACTCAAATAGGGAAGTCGTGTGTTGGAAATAGGGACACCCTAATTGGTTTGTATTTATTACCTTAAGTGGAAAGATAACTTAGAAAATGTATCTATAACATGGCAGAGAAAACCCTGGATAGCTTTTGGAGTTATTGAAACTTCATTGAGTAGCTCTTAACATATTTCATTCTGATGTGCACGGACAACCTGTTTTTATTTAAACTGTTTTATTTAAAGCAATCACCCTTAAAGCATCTTCATACTTGTTCTTGATTTATTACTCTTTATGTGTTTTAATCAATATTTTGTATTTTTCCATGATGTTTTCATGTTTTATGCTTAATATAATCAATATATAAAAATACATATACAGTAAACAATCCTGCAATAAAGCAATTATCCATGGTTCAACGTTAAATAAATGAAAAGAAAAACTCTGTGTTGCAAGAGCTAAATCTTCCTCTGCTGGGGAGTGATGGACGTGACATTTTCTGCAAACCTCACAGATGTATTTGAAACCACCGAGAAGTTTATTTCCATCTTTTTTTGTCACCAAGACGACTCCATAACCCGCCAGACAGATCAGAGCGGTAATGGCTTTAAATTCCACTCCGTCTCTTTCTCTCTAGCCCAGAGCTTTCGTCAATTGCCGTCGGATTTAAACGGAGACGATGAATCTGCAGCTGCGCGTTTCTATTTTTTTTTTCTCCTCCTCTTCTGCTTCTTCTGCCTCTCGAGTGAGGTCAGAAGGAGAATATTTTTCAAATGCCAAGTAAGAAACAAAGTGGCACTTATTGTGCGGCTCCGGAGCTGTTTGCAGAATCGCGTCCGATAGTTTTTACTCCTGTCATAAACACAGAGCACGGAGATAGCGTCGGAAAAAGCCAGTGTGGCAGCACAAGGGGTGAATGGAGCACAACTGACATCCTCCTTTTTTTTCATGCTTATCACATCCTTTTTCCTTTTCACCATCCAGTTGTAGACACTTCCTTTTTTATTGGAACTATATCTGTTCCTTCAGAAACATCACACACACTTGGCAGAGGAAAGCACAATTAGCATATTCATGAGATGAATACAGTGGGAACTTTGGAGTTGTGAGCGGTGGGGTTTGGGGGGTGGGGAGGGGGGGTCTGGGAAGCTGTTTGTGTGCGCGCGTGTTTGTTGCGGAACAAAAAAAGCAGATGGCACGGTGACTTTGAAAATCCAAAATTAGGTATGTTTTTGTGAACTTCATGCTCATTGGCTATGTAAATCACACAGTCAGACAAGTCATGAAAGACAATGCTGCGTGTGTTTTTCGAGCTTTTACCGCGGAGGAGACGTTCGATTGACTTGAATTCTCTCTTCACAGCTTTAATTCTGCACGTGTGAGCACGTACGTGCGCCCTCACGTACTGTCTACACTACCGTTGTGTGCTATTTCTGTACGAACACTGACAACCAGTCAGCTTGTACAGGTCATCTGATATGTGGCTTTTTAACATTAGATATCTGTATTTTTTTGCTCCATGCTAGCACTTCATAGGGTTATTTGACTAATAAATGCACAAAGGTCCTTTTATTCCCCGTTCCTCATTTCATCTTACCGTTAGATCTGACCTAAAACGCCAGATTTCAAGTGGTGGGATCACTTCATTTCAGTCTTTGACTTCAAAACATTATGGTTTAAGTTTGAACTTCTTTCTGACAGACAGACAGGAAGTTAATGCATGTATATGCAGTCGATGCTATGAATTAATTCACTGTTATTCCCTCATTCAACAGTTTAGAGCGGCTCTAACTGTAGAACAACTTAATAGTTTCAGTATTGGTGTTGTTTTCGTCTTAATGGTCCCCGTCCCAAATCTTCTTGGAATGTGTCACATATGTAGGTGCAAAAACTATGTTTGACAGCTTAAACCTGGGCCTGTAAAGGGGAAAAATAGCTCTGGTTCATGCAGTCTGTTGTGAAAAGCAAGTCAAAATGAATGCTGATTTTCCACTCTGTCCAAAATAATTGGAGGTTATACGAACCTTTTTGTCTCTCATGGTAAGGAGTATTTGGAAACCGCGGTTAGGAATTTTGAGTGTGTTCGGTAACTTGAGATTCAGCCCGATTTGTTACTGTGCCGAAAAATATGGTCTTATTATCTCTGAAAATAAAAAAAAATAAAGAAGCTTCCAACAGTTTTTTGCTTTGTTTACACCAACCAGCAGTGACTCCCTGACCTTTGACCCTCTGAACCTCTTTCCTTTGTCAGAGGCTGTTTCCTCCTGTCTTTTTATATAAACTTCCAATGGCAAAAAAAAACATGTTTGGCCTCTGAAAACCAAACCTTGCAATGTTACTCCCTTTATGCAACAGTGTGTTTATCCAAAATAGCTCCCGTTTGGAGGAAAAAATAGTCGATCCTCCTGATTAATAATTACAGCGTCACACAGGCTCTTATGTGCACTCAGGTGATGAATGGCAACAATGGAGCAGGATGCAAAATCCATAACAGCTGAGAACAGAAAACCAACTCGATTACAGCAGGTTTACACAGTGCGACAGCACACACACACACACACACACACACACAACCACTCATCAGAGGCCAAAGTGGATAGATGAACTGAAAGCTGATATTAGCTGGAAACACCGGCTCGTAAATGGATTTCATGTTTTAAACAGAAATGCAGTTATTCTCAGAAAACAATGATTAAGAATAATGTCCTAAATTAACTTTGCAGGCTGCAAAACTGTGGCTGCGGCAGTCAGGGTGAAGTTGAAGCAGTTTTGATACGAGCCGGCAGCTTATTTCGTGCCTTGTGTTTTACCGATTCCGATTAAATGGATCTCTGCTAAACATTTTTTTTACTCAGAAAATGTAGTTTTAGTTAACATATGCAGAGTAACATTATTTCTGTTGTTTCTGTTTAGCCAACAGCAAGGACTTACAGATTTTGAAAAACATGCTTCAGACAAAGCGGCTTTTTAAGGAAGCACGAAAACATCATGTTTGGAATGATTTCGCACAAGTTTTGGAGCGAAAGGAAGAAAGAGCACATTTGAAGCATGTTGATCAAACCAAAAGATAAAAAACACAATTTTTCTTACAACTTTGGTGAAGCTCAGCTGCGTTTTGTTGAATGTGCTGGCATGTTCTTTTGTTATCTTGACCCTTTTCGGTTTTTCTCATATTTTGCTGGTTTTTCAAAGCATTTTTTTAAAATGCTGCGTTTTTAAGTTTTTATTTTCTTCTTTTTTTTCCTCGGGGTTCTGAACTGTTTCCAATGAACCATTTAAAGCTTATTTTCTAAGGTGCAGAAAACAGGTCACTGGAGTTCTCTCCTAAAATTGTAAGGATTGAGTAAAGATTCAGGTAACTGGGAGCTAAAGAAATCATCACATGCAATTGGAGTTGACTTGACTAAACGTGGAAGGCACATTTGAAAGAGCATTTGTAACGCTTGCACACCTGTGTGTGTTCTTCAGACATGGCGCGGCGTTGGTGTACGTTGGAGGGCGGCTTCCTGAGTTACTACGAGACTGACCGAAGCCCCTCGGCTTTGGGAAGAGTGGACATCTCCCAGGTGGTGGCCCTGGCTGTGAGCAACTCGGAGTCGATGACCGGAGCGGGGTATGAACACACACTTACACACACTCACACACAAAGGATGTTGATATTATTATTTGAATGTATATTTTTTCACTGTATATCATTTCTTCCAACCATTATTGACCCTACAGGTGAAAAACTACCTTGAAACCGTAACAAAACCCCTGATATTGGGTGCTCTTTTCCTCAGAATGGAGAAATATTGTTTAATAATTGTCTAAATCCAATACAACGCATTGTCATACGCACAATAATTCATAATATAGACGTCTTTCAGAGTGAACGGGCCACAGGTGGAACCATTCTGGGCGACGCCTTGCTTTTATTGGCTGACCCGCCGCGTGCGGCCCACGTAACGCCACCCTCAGTTTGACATAAACACACACGCGCTCGTAAAGGCGGCTTTCAGCGGCTCTCCTCCTCATCTGTCTTGTTAATCTCATCTCCGACGGGGCATCAGTCCCTTTAACGGAGCCATCGGGGCTTTACGAGCGCTATATTTTCCAATCCACTCTGAAAGCGGAGCGGACCAATCGTGTGGCTTTAACAGCCACTTCCTTTGCCAGCCCTCCCCCCTCCCCTTTCCCCCCTCCCCTTCCCTCCTCCCCCCCATCGTTTTCCGCACTTCGCTGTCACATTACGACTCGGTTAAAAAGTTGCTCCTGTGGCAAACTTTTTCTTTATTTTCTCCCCGTCTTCACACACAAAGACGAAACAGCTGCTTCGATTCCTTTTCTCTGTCGTGTTTCACGCTCCCACTGGATCACAGCATGTGTGTGTGTGTGTGTTAGTGTGTGTGTGTGTGCGTCTGTATGCATATGCTCCACTTCCAAAGCAAGGAGTCTGATAATGGCTTATGATTAAAGCAGAAACAAGCTCTTTAATGATGCCGGCAGATGTTTAAAGACGGGACAGTGTGTTTATTTGTGACTGTTATCCATCCCCCCATAAGAAACACATCTGGCTAGCTAAAAACTCTGACCTCTCTAATGAGCTGGACATGGTTCACACCAATACAACTGGCTCTGCGCCTTCACCACTAAGCAGCAACATATTAGCTGGCGGCATACATCCCCGGTTACAGGTCACAGAGAAAAAGGCCGCTATTCCTCCGTCGCTAACACCTTTAATAGCCGTTTGTTTCACTAGATTAGACTCTGCCTCGCCCCCTTCTCCTTTTTTCTTCCGCAACTTCCAGCGGTCCCATCGCGTGGGGACGTCTCACCTCTCCACTGTCTGCCGCTCATGAATATTAACGTATGCAGATGACACACTCCCACCAGCAGCCTATCACAGCGCTACAGGAGGGCCGTAGGTGTCGCTTCCATTAAACGCGGCGTCGGGGTAATTTCACCGTGGCAGAGGACGACGTGAATTATAGAGCGGCCCCCGAACCCCCGCATCCCGCTAACGTCGCATGAATATTACAAGCCCGACTCCGAAAGGAATTAATGCAAAGGGAGAATGTTGGCTGGTGATAAAGTTGAGGTTTTCTGGGGACTTTTCTTTTTTTTTTCTTTTTTTTTTTAAGACTATCTGCCTGTTTGAATAGCAATATTTGTAATTCAACACTGTCCTTGAAATCCAATGAATAATCTGTGAATGAAACGCTCTCACCATCTGCTCTTTTAGGCTTTTGGCGGCTCTCTGTACCGTTTTTTTCCGTCCTCGCTTTTCACCGCTCGGCTGTCTCGATTATGGCAATTAAAAAGAAAAAAAAGTGGATACATAAAAGAGGGCTTTGGAAGAAAGAGCATTCAAAACCTTAAGCTTTAAATACAATCCAGGGAACAATGTTGGTATCTTGGTGCTCATGAATCCTCCGCGGCAGACGTCTACGCCAGGAAAGTCAAATTTACTCCGTTTCTTATTGAAATTAAAATGCTCTTATTTTGATTTGAGCTAACAATAAAACGGTTCCTCCGAGAGTTTCACATGAACACGAACAGGTTTGTGGGTGAAACTCTAACTGAAAACATGAAGTGAAGTGTGGTTTTAATGAGGAAATTGGACATGACTGCACTAATAACAGCAGCATGAGCTCCTTTGCACACGTTGAACTTTTAAGGAAGTGAATATCTCGATGCAGTTCAGGAGCAGAGAGTAACCAAAATCCAGTGGTGCCACTCGATCAGCATGAAGACAGCCCCCCAAATTGTTTTCTGTTGTAATAGCCCATATTGTCGCCATGCAAAAATGCTCTTTTTTCCACTTTCCCCTCCACCTTCAGGTTTTGATACTGTAACAGGTCCTATTCGTAAGCCCCATTTGAAACTAGCTAGTGTTCGAAACCACATTGTGGTTGCGTATCCTCACAAACACCTGTTTCACTTCCTTTGGAACACATGTTTATCAGCTGCTAATTTAAAAGCCACTACACGTAACTTTGAAACTTAACGCTCGTATCACACTTGAACTGACGTGGAGTTGACAAATTAAAGTGCTGCTCACGAGAGAAGGAAGAGCCAAGCGGAAAGTTGAGAGGCATTTCGGCGCACAAAAAAAAAAAGAACTTTAATGTGGCGGAGAGAGAGCAGAGCCACAAGTTGAAGCTGTCAGTTTACGGGGTTGATCTATGTTCCTATCCTCACCTAAGGCCATGAGCCGTGGGTAGCGACTGAGAGAATGGGATCGCAGATACAAACAGGGGAAATAAGCTCCCTTCAAGAGGTGTCACCTTTGGCTCAGTCATTCCAAGGAGTTTAAAGCACAGCCGCTGCTCTTTTGATCAAAAGGAGTCAGTTCAAGTGCTGCAGGGAGGAATGGGGGGGGGGCGTGGAGTGCAAGGATGGAAGGATGTCTCCCGTAAGGCTCTCAGGATGGATGTTTATTTGCAGACTTTCAGGTGTTATTCATGTATGAATGATATCAGAGATGCATTTGAAATTGAGATAATGTCCAGTCAAGCAGACCAAAAAATAGGGAATGTTTTTTTTAGCTTTGTCTCACTACTTGTTTAAGTATTTTCAAGCTTTTTAGGGCCATGTCTAACGCCATGTTTGTAGTCTTAACCCCTCCTCACTTCTGCTTTGTGTCATATTTAATCTAGCCTGGCACGTCTTAAACGGGGATTGAGCAGTTACCCCGAGTGCCCAACCTTTTTTAACAAGCTGAACCTGAGAGTTTGAGGCTAAAACCAACAAGAAACGCAACCTCACTGGACTGTATGAGGAAAAAATTCAGGTTTTTTTAGGCGATTAGGGAAGAAAAACCCGTCACCTGTTTCCTCTCTGATCCTGCTAAATAGTCGCTTGTTAGATTATATGCTAACAAGCATCTTTTAAATCTTTTAAAGCCATTCATAACAGAAGGCCTGGCAATAGCTGCGTGCTCACATTCCTCTGCTCATCACCTTGGCTTCCCTTCGCTTTGCCACGCCCTCCCTCCCTCCTTCCCTCCCTCCCCCCCTCCCTCTGGGACCCCCTTAACGCGGTGTTCATCTCTCATCCCTACTGTTCTTTCCTTACCTTAGCATTTGCCAAAAACAACAATGTAATCCCCCACCCCCTCCTCCTCCCATAGGAGCTCCTCTAACAAGCTCCTGCACACCTGCCAGCTCAAAGACAAGATGGAGGGGGGGGGGGGGGGGGGGGGGGGGGGGGGGGGGGGGGATCACGCGACGGGCGCACAAACACCCACGCCCGGGCTGTTCCCATGACACCGGCCAGAACCGAGCAGCTCGGAGCCGCCGCGACCCCCGTGACACGTCCCCCTTAAACGCCCCATCGGCGTAGCGTTTAGATCCGCGTGTGCAGCCCATTAAGGCAGCGATCACATGACCTGTGCACCTCCACGAGGTGTGCAGGTGGGGGTGGAGAACACAACAAGATGAGAAGAAGGGCTCACAAGAG